GCCTTGTGCACAGCCAGCCTGGCTGAGCCGGGTTCGATTCCTCCGCTCCTCTCAGAGAGCCCGGCAAGCTACCAAGAGTATCTCGCCCGCACGGCAAAGCCTGGCAAGCTACCCGTGACGTATTTGATATGCCAAAAACAGTAACAACAAGTCTCAAAATGGAGACATTACTGGGCCCACTTGAGAAAATCGATGAACAACGGGAGGACAGTGTTTGTTTGTCAATTCTTAAATTTATTAAAGAGAATTTCAGCAAAGTTTTGGGAGATGAAATAGATCAACTTCATTGAGGATGCTCAGGATGTTATGAAGATTCTGGATGCTTTACCCCTTGGTGATTTATTAGTCAATTTACAAATAAAGTGCTCCAGATGCCATAGCAATCCCCAGTGCTATGATGTTGACAGAAACTCCTACCTTCAGATATGTGGTCTATGACTTCCAACCTGTTTGTCATACCAAATGGTTTCAATCATGTACCTTAAAAATTTCCGTAAAATGGAACTGTATGATGCTAAGTATAAAGGCAGATACTAGTTCATCTTCCCATCAAATTTATGAATGAGATTTTTAGTCAAAGTAGCTCAGTGTGGTCTTTTGGTACCTTAATTGTTCATACATGGAAACTGAGACATGTTAATTAAACAGTCATCAAGCAGCTGACAGTCATTTTTTCCCCAAATCTGACTTGATTATTGTATGCAAATTTATATTATACCATTGACCATTCCTCCCCCATCCCAGTAATTTTCCAGTGTACCTAATCTGGAGCTGTTTTATAACAATGTTTGTTCACTCCTTTCTGATATTCTCTCCTGATGTCTTTCTCTGATGTGGCCTGGGGCAGCCAAAAAATAGGTAGTTATGCCAGGTGCCCCTGATCATTTGAGAAGTGCATGATAAACTAGCTTTGTGGGACTAACCCTGTCCTCTCTGTTATGGTAGCTCAAATGCTTCAACTTCCCAAAGCAGAATTATTAAGCGCCTGGAATCCTATAACTGGTGTATGGAAAGCAGACCATTAGCCACAGCTGGGTGGTTCTTGCAACTCACATCATGCCTCCCAAACACTCCCAGCTTTTGTGATGTTGAAAGTCATATATTTTCCATATAGAAGAGTGACACCCTCATGGCAGAGTCTGTCTCTGGCTCCATCGAAGCATAGCAACCTTTAGCTAGAGGACAGTGCTTCCATGGATGCTCAGCTGCAGCATTCAATTAGTCTTCTGTTATTTCTTCCCTATTTCCCTCTAACACACTGTCAAGCGTGTCAAACATGGAGCATCTTTTTGATGTGGACACTGGCTCATTAGGCCCCTGCTGAGATCATTAAATTCTGTTTCTTTAAGGCCTGTGGAAAGGGCAGATTTATGCTTCCTTTGATGGAGCTGGTCTTAAATTTCCTCCCTATTGTGAGATGGATAGTTGGTGATGAATCAGTGATATTTCAGACTCCACTGGGGGCAGACAGTCCTCTAAGACTGGGGAATCTGAGATAGAATAGTCATTGAGGAGCCTCATTCCCTTCTGGACTGCCTCCTGCCAGGCTCCAATCTCAATGGTGTTGCTTTGTTCCTTTAAGAAAAGTTGCTCAACCTTGCTGCTAGCTAGTGGCATTTTGGGCCAGGGTAGTCTTTGTTGTGAGATGGATTATGGACATTGTAGTTTGTCAGCAGACTATCTGACTTCAACCCTCTAGATATGGGAAACTTGTCCTCTGAGGTTAGACAACAACAATAAAAAAATTGTCTTCAGATATTGGCACTTATTCCTTGAGGTCAAAATCACCCAGTTGAAAAATAATGTTCTAAGGTTTTCTCAGAGTTTAACTTCTTAGATATCCTTCTGACTTCTTCAATTTCCTAGAGAGAATCCATCTAGGATCTAAGTTATAAGATCATGGGCATGAAAGCATTTCATGCTTGTCACTACTGACATGGCCAAACAGGTAAAACTGTGAACCAGAGGGTAGTATTTTTGAAGTAGTTTCCAAACAGTTCAAATAGTACTTTGTTTGCATCCGTGGCACTCTAAAACTTTCTTCCCTGATTGCTGTTCCTAAATATTCATCTTCTATTCCCTTGAACATCAGTATACTAAAGGTTGGTACAAACTTGGACCATATACTGGCTGTGTATTATCCTGGAGTTACACTATCTTTGAGTTAGACACATACAGATATGCTTTCAGCAGCTAAATCAACAGTGGAGCTATAGACACCATGATAAGATAGCAGAGAGACTGTAACATTAGAAAGGACTCAAATAAGATATCAATTTGATTATGGGCATAGTCTTGGTTCTCAGTGCCTTTGGGATTAGGATGAGCAGAGAAGTTCTTCGCTTCCTGCATCCTGAGAGAGTGCCCATTAAACGGTGGTGAGTATAAGTTGAATATTAGTTACCACATACATCAAAGTCATACTCTGAGTTTGGACTGCCATTGGAAGGTACTACTTAGTTCTTGGTGGATTACCCCAAAGAAATATTCACTCTATTAAATTGTACACAGAGTTCTATGAGCCCAGGCATATATGGTACATTCAGGAGTGATCCCTGAGCAAAGAGCCAGAGGAATCCTTGAGCAAAGCTGTATTATTGGGGTTGGGGAGGGGAAAGTGGGGAGAGAGAGAGAGAGAGAGAGAGAGAGAGAGAGAGAGAGAGAGAGAGAGAGAGAGAAAGAGAGAGAGAGAGAGAAAGAGAGAGAGAGGAGAAAGTAGAGAGAGAAAATGTAGAGAAAGAAAAAGTAGAGAGAAAAATAAAGAGAGACTGAATATATGTTGCTTCAGTGATTAAACCTTATTGTCTGCAGGTAAGGTGAGTGTCTTACTTGCTGTACTATATCTCTGAGCTTCTCTTGAAGTAGCCTTCTATTAAATCACTGTTTTCTCTTGGTCTCCTGATTCATTTTCAAGGGGAATTTTTTTTGTGCTATTTCTAGTTTGAGATCATGAGATAAATTTAGGAGCCTGAACCTTGTAAATGCAAGACTGATTTAGAGTTAGGAGTGAGCTTTGATTTCCTCTAGTGTTCCTTTCCACTTTTAGAGAGGCTAGAATCAAAATCCCTAAGATGGTTCAAGTTCTCTCCCTGTGTTCCTGTGCACCACACAGCTGTTTTCGGAAGACAACTTTTATAGCTGCTTAACCAAACAAAAATTTTAACATTAAAAATATATATTTACAATAAGGGGTCTTCATGATGCAAGGATCAAAAAATAATGATCATCTTTCTACAACTCGCATCAGAGAGCTGGAGGGAGAGTGCAGTGTGTAGTGCAACTTGTCTTGCACATGGCTGACCAAGTTTTTATCCTTGGCACCCCGATGGTCTCCTGAGCTGACCAGAAGTGACCCCTTACTCAGAGCCAGGAGTAAACCCTGGGTACCACTAGGTGTGGTCCAAAAGCAAAAAAGAAATAAACAAACGAACTCTTATCTAAGTAGCTAAACAGTCACTAAAAGGCTTTCTAATGAATGTGTATATTTGAAGAGAAACTGCACTGGTGTGTGAATCTCTTTAGAAGCTATAAGGACTCTTATTTCTCTGGGAACAGTTTTAGGGATGTCACAGGGAGTGTACGAATGTATGCTTCTTACTAACACATAAGAACAGTTTTTAAGTTGGAGTAAATGAGGCAAAGCAAATACACTAGTGGCTTTCCACTGATATTGCTGTTGTATAATCAGTCTGGAAGAGAGCATTGCTGCTTGTTGATGAGGCCTTTTGTTTACCTCCAGTGTTTCGAGCCCTGTTCCTAGAGGTCAAGGGCTTATTGGTTGTCATATCTGCTTTTCTCCAGCTCAGGTCGGGAAAATGTGTGATAATATGTATGCTTATTTGTCATTGCTATATAACGCTTGATTCTTCCTAGAGGACAGTTGTTCCTTGGATAGACTGCTTCCGGTTCAGATTATGACTCTGGGGATAAGGATCATTTTGCCCAGCTTACTTACTTTTAACTCAGGAACCTCTCAGTGCTGAAAAGTCATGGTACCATAATAAATTGAGCACAGAGGATTTCTGAGCAAGACTGTGTAAACAAAGTTGAAAAGCTGCTGATTTGTCAGTCGTTCTCATTACCTAGAAAGGGAGAGTGACTTGCTTCTGTGGAACTCCTCCAGAATCAGTGAGAATTCAAATTCTGTTTCCTACCCAGCCTCTCTTCTATAGTCCCCAAAGCACTTCTCCGTGTTTTGATATTTTTTTATGAAAGTACAACAGAGTGTGTTTCTATCCCAGAGAATCGTCTTGGGCCTCCTAATGAGAGGATATAAGGAAGCCTAGATCTAGTGCTTATCCTGAACCTAAGGAAGCTCAGAATAAGTTTGCATGGCTGAGCAGCATAGAGCCAGGTGGAAAAATCTAAAGACTCATGCTATTGTATGATATTGAATTTCATTTCTTTTTCCATTTTTGGTTCCATGAAACGTAAATTCCGTGAAATCTAACAAACATAAGCACATGTTGGGATGTCAGACATTGTTCTGATTAGTGAAGATACAGTATTGAACAAAACAATGAAAAGACTCCTTAGAGAGAATATATATATTATAATGTATATTTATTATATATAATTATATATTATATATACAAATGTATCATTCAATATAAAATATAGAGTTTATTCAGATACATGTACATATATAAGGGTGCAAATAGATACATACATATATATTTGTGTGTCCATGTTTTTTTGTCTGTTCCTAATTTAATGTTTTTCTATATGATGCAGGTAAAAATATGTTCACATGCCTAAACTCTAAAGAATATCAACACTCACATTTCAGAAGACTCAGGGTAATGGATAGAAAACAGCCAAGTGTAACACAGACTATGTATCTCACCAAATGAGTCATCCTCCATTCCGCATTCTTTCTTCTCTTCCACCCAGTGGTAGATGTCAGGTCATTCTTTTCTAATTTGAGAGGACACTCAGGGGAATTCCCAGGATATATGTCAATAAAGATTGTCCCACGGAAATGGTTCTGCATAAGTACCATTTGTTAACACATTGGTTAACTGGAGTGCCTCCCATGTAAAATGTTCTAGAAATAGCCTCCCTCCTCTTTTTTTTTTCCAATTAGCAATAATCGTGCCTCGGATAAACCTCATTGGCTACAATACTGCCACTGGGCAAAGCTACCTCCCTCCTCTTTATGTCAGTAAGAAGTACGGGTGTTCCTAACAATCAGGACTTTCACAAATAGCTTCTAGCTAAGGGCAAAAGGCTCCCAAGATGGCTACCTCCCATGTAGCAGCTAGGACATCTCTGCTGAGATTTCATTACTATGTAGAAGAAAACTCACTGTTTTATTCCAGAGTGTCAACCTAATAGGGTCTTTGCATGCAGATAGAGACTTTTGTTTCCAGGAAGCTGATAAATGTGCATAATTGTGTGTCCTGACTAATGGGTCATGCACCTACTTTACCTCTCCTGATCAAGCCAGTTCCAGCTGACTTGCCATTAGTTATGCAGTTTCAGAATTGCTGCATGCTACTCATAACAATGTGATCATTTTGATCCTTATGGAAAACACACAGGTTGACTGTTAACAATGATATAAGTGCCATTTCTGTAGTGGGAAGTATATCTTTCTTATATTGTAACATACACCACAGACAGTCTTTTTCTCTGTAGAAAATGTTATACTTTCTACTTTTACATGTATACTCCATTTCATCTTTTAGTTGATTATTATTTTTTGTTTGTTTGAGGGCCATACTTAGTGATGCTCAGTGCTTATTCCTGTATCTGTTCTCAGGGTTCACTTTTGGAGACTCTCAGAAACAAAATCAGTGCTATGCCTTGAGCACAGGTTGGCCAGATACACAGCAAATGCCTTATTTGCTGTAATTTCTTTCTAGCCTGCCCATTTAGTCTTCTCTTCCTGTTGGTTAAACATGGTTTATATGCAAATCATTAATGAGTCTGAGAAGTTCCAGTGGATATCGGAGACCACACAGCTATAGAGCACATTCTTTGAATAGAAACTAGTTTCCCTATTCACTTATCTGATATGCTTACCATTTAAGAAGGTTTAGTAACTTTGTAACGTTTTTCCTTTATACTATGATTATCTGAATGTTTGAACACTTAAAAAAATTAGTAGTTCCTAAAAGCGAGAATTTCTGTTTCATAAAGTTTACTGGTGGACACTTTCTCCTAAAAGCAATGGAAGGAAACATCATAACCAAGGTCAGATCTAAAATAAATAAAGAGATATAGGAGGATTCCATTCTGGAGCATAGTAGCCCTCTCTGTCTATAGTTTTTGTTTGTTCATCTAACCATACTCAACAGTGCCCAGGACTTAACTCTTAGCTATGCACTTAGGGATCACTCTTTGCAGGCTCAGGGGACCATACAGGATGCTGAGATTGATACAGCTTTGTGGCTCGCAAGGAAAGTGCCCTGCCCACTGTACTATTTCTCGGGTCTCTCTACAGTTTTTAATAGGCGTTATGCTGAGGTTATGTTGCTGAGGTCTCTGACAGTCTTGTGGGTGTCTAGAGCTACCCCAGTGGTACTCAGGAGTAACATGTTAGGACAGGGCATCACTCAAACTAGGCATGTGTTATACCACTTGAACTATCTCCCTGATCCTGCCTACACTGTCACCTTGGATACTAGTGTAGAACTCCACAGATGGATGCTAGTGTAGAACTTCACAAAGAGTGTATACTTAACCTACTTAACCCATTTTCTTGTTGAGCAAATGAAAAATATTTACTTCTGTTTATTTGTGGGCCACACCCAGCAGTGAGCAGAACTCACTGCTCTCAGTAATCACTCTTGGTGGGCTTGGAGAACTGTATGGGGTGCCGGGGATCAAACAGGGTCTGTTTCGTGCAAGGCACATGCTCTACCTGCTATACTATTACTCTATCCCCTAGCAACTAAACAAATATTTGAGCAGATATTCTAACCTAAGCACATATTTAAGTGACCAAATTCAATTAAGTCTTTGGGGGTACAGCTAAGAAAACATAAAGTGCAATTTAAATACAGTAAACACATTTTTCACATTTTAGTAGAAAAAATATGGCAAAGAGAGATACTAACCAGTTCTGTCACTTTATCACATCTCATCCCTAGCATCTGGTAACCTGTTGAAGTGTCATTGCACAATCAATGATTTCGTGTTTCCCATTCTTTGGGGTCTTGTATTTGCTTCCTCCTCTCTAACCCCATTGTCACCACTTAAGTCCATGCATCCTTAACACACAACTGAACTGTGGTGGCAGGACTAAGTATATGACTAATGGAGTTTGCACACTTCTGCTCCTCAGGCATGACATTGTAATTTAGTTTGTGTGCATAGGCAGAGTCTCCTGCCTCCGCGCCTGGCTGTCCTCACCAGGGCCCCTTGGAGGAGGGTGGGTTGACTTTCTCTCCCCACCCCAAGCAGAGCCCCGGCAGCTGAAGACCTCTGGTTCCAGCCACATCCATGCTTAAGACCACTCTCCACACAGTTCAGACAAGCCTCACACATGAAGGGACTGGCAGAGGAACCCAGGTGTGCGAGACCCAAGGCGTAAGTCTCCAAGCCTGCTCGGATTGGGACCGGGGCCTCCTCCACCCAGATCCCCCACCTTCCAGGCATTACACCCACCAACTGCCCCCCGCCCCCATCGCCATGTAATCCCATCAATGGCCAAGACTCAGAGACTATAAAACCCTGTTCCTGGAAGCTCACGGTCGCGCAACATCTTATTATCTAGGTCTTACTCTGGTGAACCTTGCAGGCTACCAAAAGTATCCTGCCCACACAGCAGAGTCTGGCAAACTCCCTGTGGTGTATTCAATACGCCAAAAACCAGTAACAATGCTGGGTCTCATTCTCCTGACCCTGAAAGAGCTTTGAATGTGGCACTTTTAAAAATCTCAGGGCTACGACGAAGGAGACGTTACTGGGGCCTGCTCGAGGCAATCAATGACCAACAGGATGACAGTGATATAGTGATACAGTGATATAGCATAAGAAATAGGTACAATATGACAACTTTTTTTGTGCTTCACATATTTCTAAGCTTGTGTTCAGTCTCAGATTATGCCCTTTGACAATTATAGACCCTCCCTGTGATTCTGAATCCAGAGAATAAGGAAAGGAAAACAGGTGGGAACCACCATTTGGCAAACATTGGTCTCAATGTGGGCAACAAGTTTCAAGCTGAACTGCTTGAGAGAAATTAAAAAGCAGTTTTGTGATATGAGATGAAGTATTTTAGCTATAAAATATTTAAATATTATTACCACCCAGTAGTCATAGCAGTGATTATGTATCTTTGAGAATAACAATAATTGTATAATTTTTAGATTTGTGTAGACAGGCTATTAGCATATTCAGAACTATTTAATTTGTCCTAAATATGGTAACAGGATACTGTTCTTCATAGTCGACTATGACTATGACTTGGAAAACTATCAGGAAAATATGACAATGAACAGTGAATAGTGACTCAGAAAAATAATCAGCTAACAAGCATGCTTTGTAGGCTGGTGGCCTGGATTTATTCCCTGGCAATGCATATTTTCTAGAGCACTGATGATCCCAAGCACCAAGCTATGAGGAGCATCAAGCTGTGAGGAGCACCCAAAATAATATTACATGGGAGCTGGAGTGATAGTACAGCAGGTAGAGCATTTGCCTTGCATGGGGTGGACCTGTGTTTGATCCCCAGCATCCCATCTGGTCCCCCGAGCACCGCCAGGATGAATTCCTGAATGCAGAGCCAGGAATAACCCCTGTGCATCTCTGGATGTGACCCAAAAAGGAAAAAAAAAACAGTATTACAAACAAAAACAGTGACTCAGCAAGTGTCAGTTCTGAGATACTATAAGTCAACACATAACTGACTGTTCCATACAGAACAGGTTCGGGGCTTGGTCAAATGATTGTTTCTTCTACACTTTCAGAATATATATCTATGCGTGAATGCTGGCACTGGTGAGGAGGAAGAGATAATGTTAGCATAAGATAATGAGCAAGAGATACAATTTTTAATATATAATAACTGTTTTGTTTTATGAGAAAAAGGAAACTTTATGTTAAGATATTAGTTTGTATATTTAAAGCTCATTAAGGGTTATTAAATGTTATTCATTAACAAACTCTTAATTCACTAGAATTTTAATGGTTTCTAATACACTTCTAATACATTACGTTAAAAAATTAAATCTAATTTTAGTGGAGTAGGATCATGAGATACAGCTTCTAGGATATTTTATTATAAAATATTCTGATGTCTATAAAAATATATTCTTCCACAAAAACAGTAATAGCTTGCTTTTATTGGGTATGTAACTAGGCACTAAGCACTTTAAATATTTATTTCAATTGATTTACTACACAATGATCTTAAATGGTGGATATCGAACAGATTCTAAAGAGTTTGAAACTGAAATCTAGAAAAGCTAGTGAATTCAAAGGGTGCCATCAGGTAAATAGTGGAAAAGGAGGGTAAAATCATTTCTTCTTCATCCCAATATTTAGTTATATTTCATATAATTAATATGTTTCTTTAGTTATATGAACTTCCACTAAAGTCAACTCTATTTTATTTAGTATTTTCTTACTAGGAGAATAAAACTAAAGGAAAATCAGAAGCCTCTCAGCTTTAGAAACAACAATGACACTTTAGTTTAATGAGGAGGGTTAAATTTCTGAGGGAAGTAAGAAGTTCTTATTTGTTTTCAAGAATATAAGCTTTGGGGCTGGAGCAATAGCACAGTGGGTAGAGCATTTGACTTGCACGCGGCTGACCCGGCTTCAATTCCCAGCACCCCATATGGTCCCCCTGAACACTGCCAACAGTAATTCCTGAATTTAGAGCCTGGTGTAACCCCTGAGCATTGCCACTTGTGACCCAAAAAGAAAAAAAGAATAGAATATAAGCCTTATCTCACTCAACTTGTGTATTCCGGTTAATTTACTGGTATATTATATATACTAGCTCAAGAGTTTCCTAAGACAGGCATCTGTTTGTGACTTTCCCACTCTTGGCATTCCTTGAGCAGTCATGGAGGTGCTGAACCAGTCAATTGGATTCCTCGTTGATGTCAGCGACGGCATCTTCCTACGTTGCCTCAATAGTGCCAAAGAGCTCCCGTTTGGTGGTCATTCTGGAAGTTCTCTTCTTAA